GGCTATCAGTTCAAATAAGTTCAATTTGTCTGCGCGTTCAACCTCCGACATATTGCCTCTATCCAAAACGTTGATTATATTTACAATTGTGAGGCCAGTTTCATGCGTTATTGCTAACACTGAACCGGTAGAAAAGATGACAGAGATTCAGTCATTTCTAGGCACGTATCAAGGCGAATTATTGTTCAATTTTACTAACGTTTGCTAAACACTTAATTTTCATCTAATTACTAAATGCATAAAAGATCGGAGAACAAACACGTACAACTTTGTTGAAACAATTTGCGTTATATGTTCTCATGCTCAACTGGTAGGACCTATAACAAGGTAAGACCATAATTATTTAAATTTGTAAAAATATAAAGGTCCGATTGATTACGTTTATTGCTATCGTTTTATTGTTAGCTGATAGGACAAGCTAAGCCTCTTGAAAATCTTAAGCTTTACAATATGTTTCATTGAAGCTGCGGATAAGAAAGTAACTAAACTAATTATTCGAATTATCTCAGTTTTGGTTTAGTTTTTATCCGTTTAGCCCATCCCGTGTTATACCAGCCCATCTTCCACTGTTGCTTGTTAACGCGCTTCTCTAATTCGCCCTTTATTATAGAAGACCAGGCTGTAATACTGTCAATTTTCTTAAAAAAAACACATTTTTATCTTTACTAGGGTTCCATGAATATAAACGTGCCTTTTCTGTACGCAAACATTTGAATCTCTTTGATAATTTTTCAAAGTACAGCGATAGTGTACATATTTTTATCATGGATTGGTATCCTAAAACTGTTGCGACGGAACTATTTTGACTTTTAACATCAATTCGATGGTGGAGTGGGTTTAAGCGAGACTATAACGTAGAGGCCTCTGGTTCAAGCTCTAGCAAATTTTTTTTCAAGTTAAAAAAAAGTTACTTTTTAAATCTATTCCGATTAATCATTTTTTACAACTATATCCTCAATGTTACCTCGCTATACGTCTTTACGGGATATCATAGCACTACCTAGTATGATAGGGTACCCATAATGAGTCCTCACCGTACCACAAGCGCTATCGTTCTTTGCGGGCATTTCAGCGTAGAATGGTGTCAGCCCTTCCATAAAGAAAGACAATTTGCCAAAAAATATTCTGCTTAACATCTACAAAACCCGGTGGAGAGGTAGCACAAGCGCGTTTGAGGGCGGGGGTGGGGGTGACATCCGATTGCGTCATTGTTCAGATCAAATATTGTGCATGTTTGCACGTATAAGTTTGATACACGTAGGTCTCGTGCTTGATCAATGCTATGGATGTTCGCTTGGCGACGTGCACTATTCAGAGGCACATCGTTTAAAACGGCTGCAGTTTCCAATAAAACGCATAATGTATTGTATAGACAGTTTATGTATATTTTTATCTATATGCAGTTTATATATATTGTATAGACAGTAGTATGTACAACAGTTTGTGAACTTTTACTTCGAATTTATAGATGTTTTTTCTTCGAACCGACATACGTGTTTTGATTATTTAAACTGGTAAATACTGCCGTTTTCTGTGTAATATCTAATCTAGCTGTTAGTAATACCGAAAAGACTGTCAGCCACTATTAATGAAGGCTAGCGTCATTTAACAACATACGTTTGATACGTGTGAAACGTGATCCAGACCCTAAAGAGAAAAGGTATTAACGCGCGACTTTATCAGGCCAGCACTCTCGTGCGATAAGCCGTTCTTAGCACGAATACCTGTGGACAAAGCAGACAGAGTTTTTCAGATTGAGCACAACACAGATTCTACGGCGGGGAGTCAGCCAAGACCAGTAACGCTAAAAGGAACATGACTTTATGATACCGTTGTGGTAACGTGTTTGCTCATGGAAGCATTTGTTTCAATACGACAGAAAGAACAGGAGTAGTCCCCGTGAAGGGAACTCAGCGTCTTAGACGTCTGCGGGCACCTGCCGAATGTAAACTGTTACATACGAGCTACAATGCTCACACCAATGGACAGATCGTCTCCACAACGGGACTCATTATAAAGGAAATATCGACCATAAAATACCGTGCGGCTATACGAACTGGCTGAATTGGTATTTTCAGTGTTTAGACATTTATGTAGAATCAAATTTACGCATAAAAAATAGCAAAAACGATCGTCCGGAATCAGAATTTGTGCTACCTTCCTTTTAAAAAATGTCAGGATGCTTGTCTTTACCTAGCAATGCCTAATTCAAAAGATCGTACTAGACGCGCGTCAACAATCACCTTTGTACAATTTTCATATTTGGGCACAGTGACAACGCAGTGAAATCGTCTGGCGACTGTAAACAATATTCGACGCCACCAAGGCTTTCCTGAGAGCTTGAATTAAAGAAATTCGGGATGACGCTTATATCCGAGGTGAACTTCATTTTGGAGATGGTCTTGATGAATATGAAGAGCTTCGTTATCTCAGCGGCCAGACCTGGAACAAATTTTGCAATGCTTGTTGGTGGACAGCAAAGATGACAGCAAAAAAAAGGTCCTTAGTCTCCTGGGTGACATGAATGAAACAAATTTTACTTTGAACTAATAAATATGAAACATCGACCGTGTAAAATTGCAAATACGTATTTACCTGATAACGATTGCAAAGAACAGGAACACTTCGTCGAGTTGCTAGGAAAAATGCGAGTCCGGGTTTTACATCGTGAACTTTGGGAAGGACTTCAAGAAAACCGAAAAAGAAAATACGTAGATACCAACAACTTAATTAAACTGTTACTTTGCTATGGAGCTTTAACCGAAAAGACGGTTTTTGTGCTGTTTACCTCAAGGGCCCTTAGATGGACAAGTTTAAAGTTTCGTCTTCTAATATAATCCTTATGCTACGCAATGGGATCGAAGTAAGGAAGAACTTCCGGTGGAAAGAGTCGTACGAATTCAAGTATTTTGAGAGCAAACAACCTAAGATGGTGAACATTTCGAAGGCCAAATGCCATTTGGTCGTTGCCAATCCATCGACGAAAAAGAGTGTATTGATGAGATCATAGCTAAGATGGCGGCCTCACAAATGACTCAAGCTATTAAATCAATTTTGAGGATGTAATTTAAACGATGTCAAAATTCAAAGTCTAATATAAATACAGGAGTGTCATATGTAAGCGATCCGTAAGAAGAAACTCTTAACTACTGATAAAGGAGATTTCGAAGACCATCCTGAAAAGGTTTGTAATTCGCGTAAAGTACTGGACGTAATTCACATTGATATCGGCGATAAAGGAACTGTGAATGTGGCCGATATATTGCGATGTCGTGCACTAATCTCTCAGGCCAAATGGGACCAATTAGGAGCATCATAAATCGACCATTCCATTTCGCTATTAGTACTATACAAGCTTTCAGCGGAACGTGCATCAAGCCTTGAACGAGTTGCGTTTATGATGGCCACTGAACACGTATTACAGCTACTCCAAACCCTTTTATAGGTTATAGCATGTGCTTTATTGCGAACAAAGTTTGATTGGGTCACAGGACTGCGAGGCGGCCAGATTTCTATGATAATACGGATAACTAGTAGAATTTTGCGCTGTAACTATATACGTGACAGCACTGACATATTTCTGCATCCATGATATGATTTTTTGAGTCAATCTGTCAGGTTTTTCTTATCAATGTCTGCATAAAAATAATGTACTATGGCTATCATATAGACCTATGACGATTGTGTTTGTATGTGTCGTCCGGGGGACGTAGCACACCTAGACAGCGTCCAAGTGACAGTTCAGATAAAGGTTTACTGAAGGTCAAGATGCTCGAATGTTTTTATTCAATAATTTCTATTTGAAGCTTGATGATACCTAGGCCACGGCATTGCCGGAGACTATGTGATCATTCCATAGCATTCTGTAATGTAGCTAAACGATCTTCTCTTTGGTGCCTTTACGAACAACAAATGATTAGAATAATAATAATAAATAAACATTTTAGATTTGTTCGAAGGCCGTGGAAAGAAGAATTAAACGATAAGCAAATCCTATACCTGGAAATTTAACACGCATCAAATTTTGTTTTTTTGCGTGCTTCGCATTCTAAGAATTGAAAGACACCACGGTGGAGCAGGCGTCTAGGTAGTCTGTTAACAACAGAACAAATTGCTGCCGTAACATCACGGTAGTCTACTACTGAAACTCCATCTCCAATGATACAGTTGAATATCTTGCACACATTGAACCGTGTATAGTTCCGCATAAACAATAGCGTAAAGATTTCGGACCTTTTGATCTGATACGATTGAAAACTCTTGGAATCCATCTTATCCTTCCGCATCTTCATACGTACCTGGAAACATGTTAGTTGTTTCAAGGTCAAGGCCGCGTTCGGTTAAACCATATCAGCTACCAGAAATTCGTGCACAAAAAATAGACAATACATAAGCTCGAATTCATGAAGAGGACATAATATTGGGTATAAAATGATATGCAAGAAAACAGTTCGTCGAAAGTGTCAGATCGGTTCATGTGCTGTCCTATTGAAGGGCGACACGGAACGGAAAAGGCAAGAAACACGAGAGAGCAACCTGAAGACTATCAAAGGTCTGGAAGTGGAGAATACGAGGAGTATGATGTGCTTATGCACGAAAATTATCGGGCACGAGGTAGGTAAAAAACATTAGGTAAATAGGGGATCTGATAAGGAGCGAGCAGGGCGAAGGAAGGATCTGAACGCCAAACTGGTGCCAACGTTTCTCGTTGGGTGTCGTCAAACATTTCTTTAAGCCGCTGACGGTTTCCCAGACTGACCCCTAAATTTGTGCTTCGAACCTGGAAAGTGTTCCTGGATTGAACACTGAAAAGGTCTCAGGGTAAGAACGACAAGTGAACCACAGTGGCTACCAGTTCGTTAATTAAAGGTAACTTAGACTATAATCCCAGTCCAGTAGATTCGTAATCAGTGACTGGTAGCTATGTTCAGCACAGTCAGATACGCTAAGTGAAAAAAAAAAGCAGTAAATTCAAACGATTGGATTAAACGCGCGTCGATATTGGCCTTAGCTTCAATGCCGTCTGCAGTGGCCGGTGACAACGCAGTGAGTTTGACTGAAAATTGCATCGTGTCCGAACCTAAGATTGACAAAATGAAGATAACAACAAAAAGATCGGAAATGAAATTAAGCTTGGGAATAGCGCTAATAAAGAAGCTGTGCTCTGAGACAAAGACGAACTTCGTCATCTCACCGTTAAGCCTTGGGACGGCCTTCACAATGCTCTCGGCTGGACTCAAGGGTGACACCAAGAAGGAAGTACTTAGTTTTGTGGGCTCCACGGACGAGGCTGTTTTGCACAAAATGTATTCCGATATAATTAAAAATAATGAACTTCCTTTCAAAATTGTAAATAAGTATCTTGCTCACGACGATTGCCAGGTGCAGGCAAAGTTTGACAACTTATTACGGGAAAAATACGAGTCCGAAATAGAACTGGTAAACTTCTCGAAAGATCGCAAGAAAGTCGTGGCCGAAACGAACACATGGGTGGCATCGACGACCAACAAAATCATCAAACAGCTTCTGGATGCTGAAGCACTAACCGCGGATACCATTTTGTTGCTTCTGAATGCTGTTTGTTTCAAAGGTTCGTGGATGGAGGAGTTTGACAATTTACCTGCCCTGATGGATTTCAGGCTCCGCGACGGTACCAAAGTGAAGAAGCATTTTATGACCAAGGAGTCGGGCGATTTCAAGTACTTCGATACCGATCACCTTCGGACAGTGAAAATAATGTACAGAGAGACTGAATCCTATATGGTTATTGCCATTCCGTTAGATGAAAAGAAACATATCGATGAGATCATCGCAAAAATGACCGCAGCAGAAATGTTTCGTATCCTAGATAAGTTGTATAAGCCTAATGGACCTGACATTGTGCTTACTATGCCAAAATTCAAAATCAACTTTAAATACAAGAGCATCGTCGACCATATGCAAGCGCTCGGAGTGAAGAAGATCTTCAGCGCCGGTGAAGGAGATTTTGGAGAACTCTTCAAAAAGAGCCCCGGCCCGTGCAAGTTATCGCCCGTGATCCATCAAGCGGTTATTGAGGTCGATGAAAAAGGGTCTGAGGCGGAGGCCGCCGCAGCGACTCGCTTTTCGCCACTCAGTGGTGTTGTAGAGGGCCCTATTAAAATTACAATCGATCGGCCCTTTTATTTCGCTATCCATACGCGTGGCAATCTTGCTTCATTAAGTGGAATTTGCTATCAGCCCTAAGCAGCCGGCCTCAATGAGGCTCATAATATATCTATATTATTAATACGTATTAATATATCTAATTAATTAAATTTTATTTATTCACCATTGTTGGTCAAGAATGTCATATCAGCAGATTTACATCACGAGCTCAACGTGAATTATTAAAGCATACGCATCATATGGTTGTACGAGTCTAGCTAAACACATGGAATCTTAACTCGAGTAGTTTTCTAAGCATTCAAAAAATCGTATTCGAGATACAATAGGTATTACCATTTTGTATATTACCTAGAACAAATACCAAGTACAAGGTCCGGTGACTGGTAAAGCGAGTGGTACCATATTACTCTAGCCGTTTCAGGTATTCTGACTACCACACCTTAGGGTAGTAGTTTTATTAAGTTCTTGAGAATCGCGGAAATGCGATAAATTAACTTGTTACAATATGAAAGCCTAAATGTCTCAATATGACTATGGACTGGTTACATTAAAAAATGGGGATTTTTGTTAACTTAAACTTCCTGCAACATACTTTTGAAATTGCATCATCATTCACAATGAAGTCAGTCTGTATAGCACATTAATTTGATGTTGAGACGTAGATTTGCGGTGATGGTCCGGTGATGACGTATTTGTCCACTGAACCTGGGACGTTTAAGATGAGTGTTAAGTTCGAGAGCCGGAGAGAACAGCAGAATTTTTTTCGCCAAGCAGTCATTGCCGGGCAGGCAATAAAACCGGGAATGAAGTCTAAAGCATTAAGAATAGACCGGTAAAGAAGACGTAATAATAATATTAAGTCAGGCCGTCTTGGTATGATTTTAGTCTAATTGAAAGACATTGAAATATGCGTTATGTCTAATTTCAGCAATTCTTCTATTTCGAGCAGTAAATTTTAGGGGCCGTTGAGCTTGTCACAACTTCCGCATTTTATCATACTTTGTTTTTAATATATTTAGCTATTTTGAGCAAATCGTTAGAATCACGCGTTGTTCTGGCATCAGAAGCTAGCCCCCACTAGAAGCCGTTCAGCTACCTTATGTCTTGCTGGACTTTTCTGGGATTCGTCCTGCAGCATAGCACACAAAGCGACGGGGTGATCATACCTAGTACTAGGCCGGCCTACACTTGTCATACAAAAGATATTGTTAGCGGGAATTGAATCAGCCAATTCGGATTGTTGAGTAGTTCTGTCAGCTGTGTCACATATTAAGCACAAAATACTATTGCATTGCGCTGTCATTGTATCGACAACATCAGTAAAGTCTAGTCATCGGTAGTACTGGTCTTAGTTCAATAGCTGCCCATGCAGCGGTATTATCAATAAATGCATCTACACAAAGAGAAAAAATTGACAAAAATAGCCTCGTTACGAGCGAATGCACAATTTACGAATAATAAAAAAAATGTAAAAATTCGCCAAGCTCAAACGTTTTTCTAATACGTAGCCTATTAACGCTCTACGATACTGAATCTACTGTCGTAAAACGCTATATTAAGGCAAACAGCGGGATCGACCGACTGAAAATAAATGCGAACTTTACGTACCGATGCTAGGCATTGTTTCGAAATTCTGGGCCCTTCAAACACAATGCAAAATGGATCTACATGCCCGACCTCAAACCTAGACTACCTCAAAAGATCAGAACGCAAAGACGCATCATTACGTCACTGAATGGCAATTGCCTCTGAATATTCATTCCTCTTCATAAATTGACGGAATCAGATCGCTCGCTTATAAAAGATAGTGCTAAATCGTGGCTGTTTGGAACCTTACGATGTTTTCGTCAACAGTTATTTGCATCAAATGGAGCTCACAGAATAGTTTGCTTGCCTAGCAAGCCTCACTACGAGAAATGCATTTTGCCAGTTGCTGTTGGATTGTGACGGTATAGACAAACACGTTAAAAGGCCTAATACATATGGTTTTTTTCAACGACGTTTTAACGAGACCGTAAGGTGCAGGGTTATTAAGGTCTGCGATTAGACACAAGCGAATATCACGTTTATCTGGGAGAACACGAATGTAATAGGTACTGCTAAGTAGATTCGGGTGTTTTTTATTTGATCATGTCCAGAACGCATGGGTCAAAGGTCATGTCTCTTAAAATACAAATTGTTGCAGTTTATTTCTTCACAAGAATTTGAATCGGTCAGTTTTGAGAACTTTAACAAACAAAAAAAAAAAAAAAAAGAACCAAGTTTATTATCACAGAGAATCAATCACGTAAGTAAACAGTAACTATAGTATAGTGTTAAATGTCTAGGCTGCCGGGACCATTATTAGCTTGGACACATGGTTGTTTTTTCCACGCGTGCCCGGTTAGCCGACCTATTACAATGTCAGAAGACAAACCGTTATCGAAAATGAAATAACAATCATAATTTGAAGATGAAATATCAAAACAGTGTACGATGTATCCGTGCTATGCCTTCAACTATGTAAACGTAAATTTGCTAGGTAACTTGAGGACAAAATTTAAGTATACCAAAGATTTACATGACGCACTGAATAAACATAGTTTATGAAAGACAGCACTCGGTTTAGAGGCCACCTCTAAGAAACGTGCTCTTTCAGCCTCGTTTTAATCAAAAAGTTTTCGTACAACTAATATCGCATAGTGAATATCCTGCAAGCCTAACTTCTCAAATGATTTCGTGAACACGGTTCTGTCCGACCTAAGGTCAATTGTAGAAAAACATCTCGGCAAGGAAACTCCTAGCCTTGTTTTATTTTGCGGGTAATATAGAAAGTCAATTGCTGATTCACAGATTAATAAGTTGATAGCAATGTTTGATTACTTACTGGAAAAGCCACGTAATAATAACGGGAGTTCGACTCGCTTGCCGTGTAAGAGTAGAGGCTCTTCATCAGGCCGTCATGACGACCTATCAGTTATAGATTCCGACGGAGTTCGTGCAAAGTAACGTACCGTGCTACGGCCTTTGTTACATGAGTGTATCCGCATTTCGTACTTCGAATGTCGGCGCAAAGCAAAGACCAGCTTATTAGGATAATTCTTTATTACGGCAAGGCCTTGTCCTAAGGCCTCGTTGAAGCGGGCGACTTCGATGCAACTTAATATTCCCGGATAGGGACGGCAGGGATCGTTCCTAGTATTGAGTGAATGGCACTTCATTACCAGCGACGTCCATTTCATGAACATCTTAATCGTCCAAGTCGACAATCACGCCGATCAGCTCAATAGAGCTGAAGTAGCGTACCTGCGCTTTACCAGCGTTCTGAATGAAAGGTTTGTTGTTGATAACAACAGTATCCTAATTATAAATGGATTTTGGTTTGGCCATCGAACCAGGATCGCGCTAGATCTTCGCCATGGGGTCTATCGACAAAGGAGCATGCTTAGCTTCCATATGTCCCGTTTCGGTAACGATAGCAGCGGCGACGCTAGCTCATTCATTGTCATGAGACGCAGACGGAGTATTCTGCTTATCGGTGATATTTTCGTCCTTAAACGCACTCGACGTCTACCTGAGCCCATGTCAGGACCCAACTGAACCATCCGGCCGCTACAAGATTTCTCACTGACATTTCTACACATACGCCTATACAATCTGACTTTCCGATTTGACCGTCCCGTAAAAAGGCGCAGTCATTCCACTGATAAATAACGACACCTATGATTTACGAATTTTTGCGCCATGGGCGTCCACGTATTCATAGACCGTAAAATGCCAAACGACACAAAATGTCAATTGTTAAAAAAACAGTTTGACACAGCATACTTTGAAATAAAGATCAGCCGCATTACCTATATGGAACAGGTAATTGCGTTAGTGCTACAGTTTAGCTTTAGATTTATATTTGATAATAAATTTTCTTTTTATGTACACCCGTCTTCATCTACATCCCTGTCGTAGCTACAATGTTAACCCAATATAATAAAAAATAGTTCGAAGAGATTCGCCTTATCTTATTACTATACGCGAAGCCATTTATCTCTGTTGACGCTGTTTATGCACTTCACGGCGTGCATTTTGCCATTTAGTCGTCATGTAAGCTACAGACATATACTGTATAAAATAAGTAATGAATTGTTTCTGTTATTAGTTCTTGTTCATGATTTCGATTAGCTACCTTTCCAACCTCAAATACAAACATTTCACAATGGTAGTTTATTATGCCTAATATGACCTCATCATAAACAAAGGTATGGCAGCTAGCTAAGTGTTTTTTCTCCACCATTAGTCGATTTTCAGTAGAATTACTGTTGTTTAACGCTGACACGTACATCTGGTATCACCCTCGGCGTCAAATACTTTGTTTTATCCGCTATCATCTGCCATATGCGTGGTAAGTTTCGCCGCATTCACTAGGTGACCAGCCGTCAGTCAGAACGAAGCCACCCAGAACAGACGTACAGTTGGTTATAGTACTTATAATCTGTTAACAAGTTGTTAAATTATTTTGGTTGAAGTCTGCTGTTCCTGTTAGAACTTTGTGTAAGCTCCAGGATCCATTGCGTTCGACGCATCCGCGTGATGGCTTAATGGGTAACGTGTTTGCCTGCTAATTTTATAGAAACGAGTTGTGGTGCAGGTTCAAACCCGGGCCTGGAGTAACTTCGTATCGTGCTGGGAGTCAGCCATCTGGTACAATGTCATTAGAAACTCACAAGTCGAAACATAGATAGAGCTGTTTGTTAATCGAATTTAGACGATTGGCTCCGATTTCCGACGATTTATCGAAGACCTTTAATAAATTTCATCTCTGAGTATGTGAACGAAAACGTTTGTTCGTGGAACTATATGTTTTTTCCGACGAAAATACTATGACACTGCTATATAGATATTTTAAGATTAACCATAATCAATACTGATTTTAGTTAATTTATGCAAAGCGTGCAAAAAATCCTACTGGAAATGTTATTATGTTAGTTTATCTTAAATTAACGTTGCTAGTATTTTACATATGGAACTCATACATACAATGAATAAGGGAACACAAGTTTGACAATGTGAACATTTTACATTTGAGCTTTGGCCAGTTTAATTTGCTTGTTTGACTCGGAATTTCACTTTCTTACATTCAACAGACCCCTTATTTAGCAGCAATTTATTCAAACGCCCGAGATATGTGTTTTTTTTTCATTCAGTCACGTGTATCGCGTAGTGTACGTTATTGACGGACCTCAAATCAGCGACTCCTAGCTTTCTTGGCAATAGGGTAAGCTGTCCAAACTACCGTCCAACGGCGACCAATAATAAATAATTTTAAATTTTTTCTTCTGCGAAACTGCAGGCCATTCAGGACCATTTAGACGAGAGAAGGTCATATATGCCAATAAACATTCCATCTTCGCATTGTAATTCTTGGCTAGTTCTGCTCATATGCTCCGTTCTAATAATGCCGTGTTTGTAGTGGGGCGCTATCGAAGTTGCACCATTAACCCGACAGGACGTCCCCTCAGTGTCACTGCGTTTCTCAAAACAGTTGTAATAGCCTTGTGCAGTTGGTTCTGCAGCATTGTCAGCCGCTGTAACTGCAACAATGCAGAAAACTTTCGAACTCTGGCTACTACCTAAATGCGTTCTTTCAAACAGAAAACAATATAACGCGTGCACCTGCGCACATGCATACGCCTTCTTTAGCTCATTTTTCCTCGTCGTCGTTGTTGTTCCAACTGCCTCTTCTATGCATGGAGCTTCTATTGCATATGCCCGCTGTTGCAGTTGCTTCATTAGACTAAACTATAGTGAGCTCATAAGGTGCAAAAGGGCTGATAGAGCTGCGAGACTTTGGCTGTCATACGTCCATCCAAATTCTTTTGCGGCTTCGTTGCATTCACGATGCCACGACGGTACTCCTGTATCATACAGGCTAACAATGTTGGAAAGGCACTAGTACGCTTTATGGCTAAGGGGTGAGGCGCTGTATATAGCTGTCAACATGAAAGCTACACGAACCCCTAAATTATCTCACAGGGCCCTTAGCATCCATCGCATCCTTAAAATCTCCCTTGGGAGCAACTAATGGTAGTCCAACGAGGAAAATGAGAACCAATGAGTCCACCACGGAGGCCGCGTTGCAGAGAGACGGATTCTTAACGCCGCTTTCGGTTATCGAGATCAAGCAGTTCGACAAGAATAGCTACCTTTTCTTTATTTGTCCTCGTACGACGAAGACCGAGACTCCAACTAGTCATGTGACACTGTGCTCCCTGGTGTGCTTCCGTTCAAAGGAACAGAAAAGGCGGAAACACCAAGAAACTAAGGGGTTTGATGAAGACTAAAAACCAAATGTCAAATTCTACTTGATCTGG